ACTTTAATAATCTGATTGAACTAGCGGTCATGCGTCCTGTTAGTCTGGGCGCTTCAATGAGATTTATGAGCGGAGGAACATGCAAAGGTTTTCCGCAAGCCTCAGCAAAGCTTAAGTAGATATTGATTCCTTTTCAAGAGGTTAATCACCAACCCTTCAAGAGCTTGCATACCTACTGTTCCAACTTCGGGATATGGTGCGTTTACAGTTGGCGATCGTACGTGCGATTTGGCGATTAGGCGAGTGGGCGAGTAGGCGAGTAGTCTATTAGGCGAGTAGGCGATAAGAGAAGGATACGTAATTTGTTGCTCCGCCGTTTGAGCGGTCGCCTTATCGGTGCTAACTTAGTTGGGGGGGGGGCACGCGGCGGCGCGGCAGTCTGCTCGCCTGGCATGTTCGGAAATCCGTGGGCCAGGGGGAGTGTAGGCAGTCTAGGGGGGTGGGGGGTGGGGGCAGTCACTTGACATGCGTGAAAAGCTGGAATGTTCGAGTTTACACTGTCTCGCTCGAGAGAGCCCAGGTGAGCAGACTGCCGCGCCGCCGCGTGGCCCCCCCCCCCCCAACTAAGTTAGCACCGCCTAATCTCCTGATCGCCTACTCGCCTACTCGCCTACTCGCCCACTCGCCTGCTCGCCTACAACCCTCTATAGCCGAGCAAGCCAATCAATACGCATGAAGCCTTCCCCACCTAATCGTTTACTAGCCTAATCGCCTAGTCGATCGCCAACTCTGAACGCTCCATTACTCTTTACACCGTTTTTGTATGCTTCTAAGCAGACGTTTTTGAAAAAATTTGGTAGAATTTGGCAATTAACTCTTTTATTCCATGGCCGAGTTTCTAACTATGATTCGGTGAACTGGGATGTATGAAAAAATATACTCGAAAGAACTGCTGGACAAAGCCGTCCCGTGCATAGTAGTGCTGGTGGTCTACGGCGGCAAACCATGAGAGACCCAACGATGATGCCCAAAGAGCGTACACGAGGTCTACAAAATTGTTCTCACACTTCAACAATCTCAATTTTTTCCAATCAGTTGGAAAGGTTGGATCAAGTTCATATTTCCGACCTGTTTGCGATACCCCGTTCAATTCAAAATGGCGGGGCTCTTTAAATCCTACGTTGGTGGATATCAGTGACACGCAGGAAACAATCGATGTTACATCCATTTCTTTTCTTTTTCATAGACAAACTTGCTACCCAAGAGTCCATCATTAGAACTTTAACCCGCAGACTACGACTTTCAAAAATGAGGATTCACTGTATTCAGCTAGGTAAGCTCCACATCTGGCAACAGCTATTCAGCTTTAGTTGAAGGTTGAAGTACGCAGGACCTAGGATTTGAACCCCGGAACATACGCGCATTAATGCCCCCATTTGCCCTACACCGCCTCCTCCCAAATGGGGAATCTTGAAGTACCTATTATCAGTAAGGTTATCACCTAAAAATGCACATTAAACGATATTGCAGGCACAATCTGTGAATATACGAATTAGAAATTACCTTTTTTGGAACTATACTCTACCAGTGATCTGTGGTAGGAACTCTTTTGAAGGAGCGACAGTTCAGTGTTTTAAGGGTTAAAATCATAAAGCTTCCGTGTAGGCACAATTAGACTTTCGAACGCGCTTCCCTGTCCCAAGAGATTTGAAAATGTGGCGTACCCTTTGCTCACTGGTGCTACACATGTATACTAATAGTACAAAAGGTCAGAGCGCGCATCTAGTAGGATGATTTGACTCAGTATCTTCATTTCTGAAAACAAACCATTCTCGCAGAAAAATGTCGTCAGTTATCATAGAACGAGAGGCCTCGCGAGATCCTTAAAGGTGAAATATGTGAGGTAGAAACCTCAGTAAGGCCAATGCATTTTGCATTTGCTGGAGCAATGCAATATCAATTCAGTGAGGTTTGGTTCCCTTCATTTCCACGGACGATTTACTAACACTTGTCGGTTTCCTGTTTTGTGTATCATTTAGGTTTTGCAGGCCGAGGTAGTCGGAGAGAGTAGTAGGAATCAAGCCCGAAAGGACATCCAAATGAAGAGTGAGAGAAACTTGTTTAGAGTCAGTGTAGATCTGAGAAATTTGTCGAACCACCGTAGCAGCTGTTTTGAAATTTTTTCTTTCTAAAGGCACAAGCTTTCGAGTATTCGATAGGCGAGAGGATGGTGTGTGCTGGCCGCACCTATTCATCCTCAACATCCTGAGCTGCTTTGGATTCGTCGTTCATTTTTTGAAGAGGTTGCCTTAATTGAATAACGATAGACGATAACTTTGTTTGCATTTCCTTTCAAGATCGTTTGATTGCTTAACCCCTGTTTTGATCGGGATAGGATTTTTGTCCCGCCATCTAACGTCTGTTGGCGTTTGCCAAATAAAACATCGGCAAACATTGATGCATGATCGAGGCGATCGAACCATGAGAAAGTTGAACGGTATAGGCAGCAAGGAGACGGGTTTTAACCTAATCGAAGAAGAAATCGACTTAAATCGAAGTCTGATCAAGGCCGTAGAACTTGGAGAGACTTCAATACATTCACCTCGCATATCATTATGAGGGGAGTGGATGTTGTCTCCCTTCGTTTTTCGTTTTGCATGTCAGTTAGGTTTTGTAGGTAAAGGTGGTCGGAGACAACTTCGAATACGAAATCTGAATAAGAAATCAAGCCCGAAGACGTCCCAGAATGGAAGAGCGAGGGAAATTCATCTAGATCTGAGAAATTAATTGAATCACATTAGCAGCTATGTTAAAATACTTCTGTTGTTTCCGAAAGCACTTAAGCTTTTGAATATTCGAAAGGCAAAGGGATGTTGTGTGCTGGTCGCCCAACTCATCTAATTGATTGAATTTTCCATTTTTTTCTTCAAGCAAAGCATGTACAGACTTGAAATTCCCGGCGTTTTGGATGTAAATAGACTTTTACAGCGAACTGAATAGTAATTGGTGAAGTCAAAAAGGATCTCCCTCTGAGGATTTGCAACTCCACTCAGAATCGTGATTCGTATGACGTGACACTTAGGTTAGCATAATGCCTTTCGGATGCAATATGGCCTATTATAAACTTACTTGCGTGGTCAGCTGATTACGGAGCAGTGCTTTTATCGTTCTGTACGCCGGAGACTTCCCGTGCTTTCGCCATCCGGCTGGCCCCTGAGTAGATGGAGGTTTCGGGTAACCTAGGCGGATTTAGTCCGAAATTTGATTCCCAGGGCGTGCACGTGGTACGGGCCGGCAGTTGACACAACCCCACGTCCTCTTTCCGAAATTGTGATGGGTGTATTGACTGGCGGTTATTTTATCATTTCTTATTAAAGGACGAATTCACGATGAAAAAGCAACCCATTTCAAATTAACCTAGGGATGGTGAGTGGTACACGAAAGAAGGAAGAACCATGAGAAACGGCCCAGAACCCGAGAAATGGACCCCTTCCTTGCCCGTTGATTTTGACTCTCATCGCTGTGCCCTCTTCAACACTACGCTCTCTCATCACTCTAATCACTCGCCACGTATTGAACCTGCGGCGCACAGTGATCAGATATCGGTGGGGCGAGATCAGTCCGGACCGCGGCTTTTGGGCATAATATCTTCGCCGAGAGGCTTTTGTTAAATTTTCTGACGAATCGATGCAGTGTGCAGTTTCAGCATCTCGGAAGGTCCGTGGACCCCTCAACTGGGTGCAGGTTTCCTTATCTTTGACTGCATTCTAGATCGTGAATTTCCGTTCCTTCAAACGAAGCGACTACGATAAAGAGGAAGCGCCTCGGGGAAGTATATGCGCCACATGAAGCAGTAGCTTGGCTGTCAAGAAAACGAGGTGTGGCGCTCCCCGACGAACACTACACTGCTGCTGAGTAGTATTAGAAAAGCGCTCGCCCCAAAAGCGTTCCATACAATAATTTAGTTGGTGATGTGAAGGAACTGTGCTGCCAGCAGCTACACGACTGGAGCAAACCTATTGAAGCATGGACCGACATGGTGCATACATATGGTAATTGCTGCCTTCAATGGCAGGATCGTGGCTCAGCCTCACTGAAGTATTCGCTATCGTTGGTGTACGTGTGTGGCCCGCCGCTGCAGAGGTCGTGTCACATTCGTACAACAAAACGAGTACCAAGACGCAAGACCTTGCGGACTTCGATCAAATCCCACCAAAACTATCACGACCTGCCCGCGGTTCGATATCTTACTACCCGCGTCGAAATAATGATTTCCTATGCTTTCTCTCTACGCGCACTGCTTCACCTCTCCGCGAGTCACATCATCTCTTTTTTCTCTGCCAGTCTCTTGGACTTTTCCGCAGCGTAGAGCAGAAAGGCTCGTATTTCCAGTATTTTTGACAATTTTCTTTTTTTCTCCATTTGTAGTCCACCTCGCATCATTTATATTCGAGTGGGACTACTACTATTTGATCCTAATCTACTTCTTACGATGTCTATGAAAGAGCAGGATAAGGTCCATGTTCCATGTGAGTGATGGCGGCACCTTTCACAATGGGCCCGTCCTCTTTGATATCAGACTTTGAAAAAATAGAAGATTCTTAAAGGAATCTTCCACGGACCATGGACCAGTGGGCGGGACCGGAAGTTTTTGTGACGAAATGCATGGTAGGTACGGATCCACGTGTCGAACGCACGAACGTGAACAGGATTCACTTCAAACCTTCCCATGAACGTGGATCCGTACCTACCATGCATTTCGTCGCAAAACCACTTCCGGTCCCGCCCACTGGTCCATGGTCCGTGGAAGATTCCTTTAAAGAAGAATAGATGGGCACAGAAAAACATGTCTCTGAAGTGTCAAGGGCTTATCATTTTCAAAATCCCATAGCATTAGTCATTACTAAAATAATTATATCATGAATCGCTGTGTTACACTGCTAGATGACAATTCGATGACAAGTGCACATGTGTTTCAGACCTACGACTGTCCAATGCGCTGATCGAAGTGCGCGAGGTGACCAAATGCACGTGTTCACCGATGGATCTCGGCAGATGTGATGACTCTCCAAGAGGTTTTACAGTATCTGTCGGCGTTGTCCGGAAAATGGTGCTGTTTGATGAACAAAGGTAAGTGTCCGCTTGCGAAAGTATATGCCACAATATGTGGAGATTTTCTATCCTGACGGCAAGCCATGCGTCGACTTTTTGCCGAGACAATACTGGCATGACTTTATTTAGGAACCCTACAATGGCACGAGTTGCTGCGGAAACATTCGCCGATACCCTACGAAAACGTCAAAGTCGTGGGCCAGTGCGACGACGACGTGCTGATCTTCGTATCTGCTGATGATAAGGCGGTAAGTTAAGGAAGGATGGATCGAATTACGACATCTCTCGAATTTACGGTGCTCAGCGACTCTAAAATCCCTTCGTCCCATTTCTAATGCCCTTTTCTTCAACAGACACCATAGATTAATTTTTTATAGGTGTGGACTTCTCTTGGATTAGTAACGAAACGATACCTTAGCGACGATGCGGTGAACGCCGTCACTTCTAGAGCAGGTACGTTCACATCTCATGCTTACCTCAACATTGCGACGTGGACGCTAGTATGCTAGGCTGCTAAAACCTCACTTCAGTTTCTCCAAGCTTTTCAATAAAATCGATTTACGATGAAAAGGGAGCCCATTGGAAAATCAAGTTATTAGTTATGTGATGGGCCAAATATGATATTTTGTTGACTCGTGCTCGATTTTGATTAGTGACTCTGTACTGGCTCTCTTTCTGTCACAAGTTGGTGAAGCGTGCGAAGTGCAATCAAAGGAGATTCTAGAACAGACGGTGACAAATGAGCTCTTCCTTCGAAGAAATGGATTGTGCCTTATGACGCGCTGGCTCATAGTTCTTAGTCGCTTCTTGTCATCGTCAGCCTCTTTCTAGCATTCTTGGAGTCGCGTCCATACGTGAGCTATCACTCTGACTCGAGAAGCACGCATGGGGAGGACGGTGGGCCTACGGGTTCGTTGTTTTGTAGCTCAGTCCACTCGGACGCGGGCGGGGCGCTTTTGGTGCTCGAAGTGTGTGATGCTGCGTTTAGTGTCTCCATATCTTCGAGAGAGGCAGCTTTCGTGTGTGTGCGATATCTCTTGACTCATATACTAAAGAAGATCCGTAGTCTTTCACTAGTAATTTTCCTCTTCTCGACCTCATCTTTATGTGGTTTTCGTCCAAGGGACGTGGATGAGCTTCAGCTATGTCCTTTAGTGGGCCAGTGTATAATGACCGGTGTAAAACTGGTGGCCAGCAACAGTTGATATTACCGCTTGAAAGCGATATTATGAGGGGGGGTCACGGGTCTCTTCCTGGCGGCCAGACGCAAAATTTTTTTGTTTCGCTTTCAAACCGACTGATATCTACAATTTTCCTTCTTGAAAACACACTCCAACAAAAAGCCGTTAAATAAAAAAGACAGACAACAATAAGCAAAGCAGAAGCTATACAGATAGCGCGCAGCTCTCCAAAACTCATCTTCAAGCAGAGTTTAGGACCATTGCCGTCGCTCATAGCATTCTGGACGAGTTTCAGATGAGATACATACATATGATGATGTACACACCGTAATTGGTGGGGCCATTGTTTGATGACGATATTCGAAGAATTTGCCACGGGCATGGCGCACGGTTAGAGCTTAACGATATCCTCGACGGGTCGTGGATCGTTGCGACGTGGTCTGAAACGTTGGCCAGGGGGTCTTGTACATTCGGAGCTAATCTTTAAAGGCATGCCCCAGGATCACATTGGTGTGGCTCTTGCACACGAATGCGAATGTATTGGTGCGAAATGGGCCGGCAGTGAAGAAAAAAGGAAAAGAATCCGTCGAAAACGCTCAGGTTAAGGGCTCACTCACCTTCCTAATCGGCTGTGCTAAGGGAATGAGAGACTAAGCGCGGAGAGGAGAGTATGAGGCGAGAGAGCGCCAGACAACAGCCTGATAAGAGAAAAAATCTGCAGCTTCAGCAGCTTACTTTGCAAGGCCCAAGCGCTCTTGTCGGTTGGTTTCCGTGCACGGGAACGCCACATTTGTGATTGTCCTCTGGAGGTCTATACTACAGAAGAGAAGCGTTCACACGACCTCTGCCTGGGTCGTAGCTGCCTGGGTCGTGTTCTTCATCAGCTTCATCCTGGGAGCAGGTTTCTTTGAGATTGACGGCGATGGCAGATGCCGTCATATCCTGAACACGGTTAGGGCAGTGAAGGAGGGCCTGCTTCTGATAACAGGGGTGTTAGTGTTAGCAGGGGACACTAAGGATTATTGCCGAAAAGCTTCTATCAGGTGCGAGACCTTGTGCGAGAAAACATTTGCTGATGTGGGCAATAGGCAAAATGACTTTTTTGCCTCCCCCGCGCTCCCCTACACTTACCATTCTGATTAGGAGTCGATTCAGTGAATCCCATATTTGCTATCCCCGAGCAATTCGCCTTTCAATCCTTTGTCACCACTTCATCATGATATCGTTTCGAATGGATCGAAAACATGTAAGTTTGATTTAGTTTTTTTTTTCAGTTTTTTTTTCAATTTTTTTTCAGAATCATACTTCCGAAAAGGCGATTACACAGCCGGCTTACAATACATGATCGATTCGTACACAACTCTTTTGAAGGGCGATCCACTAGACTTGAACAGCGGTGAGTTGGAATCCAACACCAACTTCTAATTGTGAGATCTCAATACCTATATATTATAATTGTGCTGAAGAAAGGGGATGGTTTTTGGACTCGTTCAAGAGCCTCTAGTTGGAACCGAATAGATCGGAATGGCTTAATTGCTTCTCAAAATGTCAACTGCACAACTTCGAACTTTCGCTGCCTCACGAGTGGAGTCTCTACCTTTTTTCACCCAACTGCCGTTAAAAATTTCGATTGCAGCAAAAACAGTCAAAAACTCTCGTGAAATCGGCCCACGTGATGGTCAATTCCCGAATTGAGACCGTGTAAAAAGGTATTCAAACCTTATAAGTCCTCGAATGCTAGCAAGCACCACGATCTTCTCCACTTTGAAACTTCGAAAAATTTTGAGGCGTCGAAGTAGCGTCGAAACGTTTTTTTGTTGCAACGTGAATGAAATTTCTAAGACATAAAGCCTTCATCATCAAGGACGGCCACTTCGTTCAAGCCTTTTTATGACAGCGTAAAAGTCTAAGCATACACGGGAGGGGGGAGGGGAGTGGCAATAAAAAAGACATTTTGTCTCCACATTCGGATGGATTTAATCACACTTTGCTCAATTCAAACCGAATGGTCCCAACTTAGTATTGAAGAGCACATTTCATTCTATAAGAAAATCTTCATAGTGGCCACCTACGTGGACGGCATC